CTTCAACCTTATATCCCTTTGGAATATCTGGGGCTTTAATCATGGTGCAGGACGAAGTCACCGGTTTCATATCTGTTTTTGGTAGAGTACCTCAAACGGGCTGAAGAAAGGTTGCAGCTGTAAAAAAATCTCCAAAATCAATACTTCTTTAAGTGTTCAACATTGGATGTTGACGCTCGGTCATGCATCCGCACCAGATGACATTTTGAAATAGCGTGCGAAACGTCTTCTGCAATCGCTAGCCAGGTTAGATCAGTCACTCCTCGATATATTGATAATACATTAAACATATCTCCCAACCTCCTCGCTTCTGAGTTTGATTTTACTGGGTGGACGCGATTCAATTACAGGTGCTGGAATCAGTTCATAATCAGCTAGTGCTATTTCATCAGTTAATGAGGAACAAAAGTGTTCACTGAATAGTTCCGTAACAAATTAGAAACTTCGTATACTTGCTTGTCTTTAATTTATATGTTCCCTCACGATTCAGAACGTTTAAGTTTATTTTTTAAGAGTATGGTGAGTACAGAGGAGTTATTAATAAGTTCGGCAGCACGTCTTTCCTGTTCGACTGTTTTTGTGTACCTATTGTCCGTTCGGCCAAGTATTTCTGACATCGTTACTAAAGAGGAAATGATATCAAGGTTTTGGAATCAAATACAATGTCCTTGCACACGTATTCGTGTACGGACCGGTATATACAGATCCTTAGAAAACTTAGGTCTCCAGTATTTTGAAGGTGCGATTTCGTTGATGATACTTCGGAAGTTTTGATAAAATATATTGATTAGTGTGTCGTTATTGTTTGCGATAAAGAAAGTTCCCCAAACAATGCTTCTAAGGTAATCGTGCAAGTTATTCCAATTAACCTTGTGATAGTTTCTAGGAAATGTTATAGTTTTACGTCTACCGGCTGTGTTTGAGGTTACATACGACGATGTTATGATCACTACCTAAAAACGTTTTTTTGCAATGACCACAGTATTGGGGGTGAGGTCACTGGTAAAGTATAAATCGAAGATATTTGAATATCTTGTAGGGCTAATTATGTACTGAGCCCAATCTCCTAGTTCTAGACATTCAATAAATGACTCATAACGTTTCGGAGCCTTGACTAAAAGAAATTTCAGGCATGTTGAAGTCGCCACAAATGAGCTTGCCTGGCAATGAGAGGGATGATGCTTGTATGAATACCTCTGACAATACTGCTATTTCACGTATTCACGCTTCAGGTTGATGGTAGACACAGCCGTACATTAATGTGACTGTATTCAATGGCTTTAAAACAATCCACAGCAAATCTTTCAGTTTTTTTCAGGCTCATCACATAATAGTGAGTTTAGGCTAGAATTAGCGTAAATAATTCATCCTCCACCTCGCTCTTTCAATCTACCACTTCTATATGAAAAATAGTTATCAAGAGATATACATAGGTCGGAAATATTACTTTTATTCCATGCTTTAGATATCATTAAAAGCGATTATTGATATGTCGACACAAACATAGCTGAATCTGTCATTTTAATGTAGATCAACCTAGCATTCATAAGGCAGGAGTATCTCGATTAAAGTTGTCATAACCCTGAGAGTGTGATATGGGTTTGAAGTTAGTGATTGGATGTTCTTCAATAGCTCTTTAGAGTTAGTGGGAGATGTATCAAATGAGGTGGTGAAGTTGCTTGGGGAGGTTACCCAGGAGAGGTTAGTGGGAGAACTGTTTCATGCGAACTGTACGAGGGTAGCGGGTTTATGTTTCTCACATGGTTTAAAATGACTTAGGCTATATGCTTCAACAATAATTTCTTCATACTTTCTCGGACAGAAAATAAGGTAAAACTCGGATCACAGTTCTATCGTGACGATCATGCATATCCAACAAGACCAAAACAGAGCGAGAGTAGAGTAACCCTGAAGAAAAGTTCTATAACGAAACTAAATAGTTGATTTTGGTGAAATTTCGACTTTATGTGAATTTGATCCGACTATCTAGCTTCATGTTATAGGAAATATGACACAGGATGCAGAGTAAGGTTCGGTAGTAGAACTGAACTTCATTTAGAGTCATTGTTACCTAAAGCGAATACCGTTAAAGTAGCGAAGGTCTCTATAGAAAAGATAGTTGTAATTTGTATCTTAATTGTAATGATTTATGACTTTCCACATCAGAGTCATATTATATCAAATAAAGTTAGTCCATGGTTTGTTATACCTTGTACTTGAAATCCATATTTTATTTCACAAACGAAGAAAACGATGATCGCCTGGAACGCGGCTGGATGTTGAATCACTTACTAAGTGTCTTATCATTGTTTTACCTAACCTTCTCTTTTGGCGGTCGTCTTATTGTATTGTTGTACTTTAGTTGTGAATTTATGAATTGATTTAATCTGATACATAATTTCCATATTCGAAGCACTCTCTCTGTTTGTTTCGGGAAAATATGACATAGATAACTGGTAGCCCATTGCATTTACTATAAAATAATTGGAGTTAGGTTTACGGGAATAAAAACCAAAAACGGCAGTTAGCAACAGCCTGTAAGAGCCGAGAAAGCCAAGACGTAGCAGAGAGAGAACTGAAATCAGACTTCGGAAAAACTCTAAACATATTCTACGTTTTTTTCAAAAGATTGATGAAGGACTGAAAGGCATAGGCAGAAGGAAGACAGGGATACATTACTAAGATAATGAAAAGAAGAGATCTTAGTAAGTGCGAAAACTATAGGGGGACCAAAGTCGTATCAGTAACAGACAACGTTTCCAACGGACTGTTTCTGAACAGCACAAGGGAATGACGGAATCCATGTTGCTCAGAAATGTGTTGCAAGTAGATGGTAGAGTCGAGAAGGACCGTCTTTTTCCGCCTTTCCTCGTCACTCTGGTTGTTGACTTGATTATGATGACCTTTACAACTCAGGATTAGCAAGGAATACAGTGGACAGCTTAATAGCAGCTTGGTTGTGTGAACGCTGAATATGCATAAACTCTTCGATCTTTCACGCAGTAAGAGACGCAGACGAAAACAACCAACGTAGCAACGACCTCTATAGCTAAATACCACCGCAAATATCAGTAAAGGGCACAAGTATTTATAAAGTGTTTCTGTTACATCTTAGCGAAGAAGTAAGTACGGATAACTTGTGAGACCTATTAATGGACTATTATTCTATATACATTCTTATGGTTTAAATATTCAGTAACTGGAGTGTGCATATCTATATTCATCCTATTATAAGCTTCATTTCGACCTATAAATTATTATACGATTTACTGTCCCTAAATAATACTCAGTTTGTTGATTACTCCCTCCCACGTTCACAGCCACATTTGGCTTGATCTTGTACAGACATTATTTTCTGTTTTATGGTGAGATGCGTTCTGTCTCTCTGTAATATGAACAGATTATGCTTAGAATAAATGATTCGCATAGATTTGTATAACAGAAGCTTCAATTAGTGTTTTGGACTCAATTGGAAGTGCTAGGGGGACACTAGACTGCTCAAACTGGTCGAACGTCATAGATTTTTCAGTGTTAAGATCGGAAAAGTCGTATTTCGATTGTTGGTCATTCACATGATTAAAGCCAGACATAAAAATCAATAACGAACTAGCATACGTCCTCTTATTTTTCATAAAGTCATAACAGTTTCCTATTCGAGATACACCAGAATCACTGACGAGAGACCATCATCTATACTCTACTGTGTCAAAAAACAAGCTAGCTTCAATTTGAGGGGAGAATTAAGGGAATACAATCAAAGCGGATTGGATGCACTTTGCGGAAATCAATAAACCTCCTCACAAGATAAGTCACAACTTGAAATACTTAGTGTGAAGGGAGAATAGGTGAACTAAGTGACATATAGTTCAATAAATCAAAGTCCAACATCCAGAGGTTAAATGTGAATTTAGAAGCTACTGGAAAGGCAGGTTCAAAACGGAACTGGGTAAACATTTCTTGTCGGTAGCTAAGATAGTAGCCAGGGTTTCAGAGCTAACAAGGTTAATCAATCACTGAATCAAAGTATGTCTATCTTTACGCAGGACTCTGAAGTGTCCCATTTTCAAACAGACAAAGCGCATTATCCTAAACTACAGTGGTCAACGGGTAGTTGGAAATCATCACTTAGTACTACGGTTTAGTACCGTTACGTTAAAGCTAGAAAGATTTAAAAGAATGCAAGCGATTGAACGGGTTTGACCACAATTTCATATTTATATGTACTAACGATCAATGAGGCTGCAGTATTGATTAAATTGGAAAGTTATTTTCAGGTCACTGTAGTTAGTTTGAAGGCTGACTGTGATTTTCTTGAATAAACAACCTTAGACAGCTATCTGTGCAATATATTAATTCAGAGCCTCATCAGATATAGTGTGGCTTGAAATGTTAAATCACCTATGAATCTAATACTGCGGATCAGGTGGTAATGATGTCTAGGGAATGAAGCATTGATTTTGCGCATTACATATCTTTATTTTCTTGTTACTAGGTCTGGACAACTCAGATAACATAACTGGGTAGTTCGAAAGCACCAAATGGAAAATTTGTTAGTAACATATAGTTTAACCCTCTAAATAATGAACTCTTGGGATCGGCAACCTCAAGAAATAATACCTAAAACTTCATTCGTATCACTTAAGAGTAGTTTAGATACACACATGTTGCAGGTAAAGTACTAACATCACTCTATATTCAGAACAAAAAACTCGAGAATCCTCAGATCGTGAAATCTTACCGCTTAGATCGACACGGCTGGAAAAATATTCATATAATGATGCAGTGGTGGTTTAACTTGATTATCATACTGCGGTGTAGAAAAAAAATAGGACGAAAAGGGAAGTGGAAGGCAAACAGTGAAATACATACGGACGAAGCGAACTAAAGGTAATTGATGAATTCGGAACTTTCACTGAACACTAAATAGTGAATACTGATAAAACAATTCGTACATATTTTTTGCATGAAATATAAATTTTTTATTAAATAGTGAATCACTATGACAACAGTTGACCAAGTTTTCAAAAGTAAACTTTCAGACATTTGATACGTACTTTCAAAATATATAGATAGTTACATTAATAAGCTATCTTATGTCTTCTCGAATAATCAGAGAAAGTTATGTTTCTTCCTTTGGTAAATACTCTTTCATACACATCAGTCAATTAACATAATGAATAAACTTTTATTTCAGATAGATCATTAACAACAAATTATCCAGTGAATTATAACTATTGTGAGTCAAACAGTTCATCAGCTGATGAAATACTAAGTAAGAAGACTATGAATCGTGGAAAACCGGAATGTAAGGTTGTTCTGGTCCAACATATTTATTACGAATTTTAATTGCAACTGTTTGTAGGTATTCGACATCAATTTACTCACGATTACGTTACACATACTCATGAAAGTTCATTTGATTACACTTAAGTTCAAGATCACCTGGTGGTGGACTAATGAAATTACGGCTACATACTTGCTCCTATAAGAGTTCTTAAGGTTATAGCTAATGTGTTGATAAAAAAAATAGGTGACAGTAAATTTCAAAATTCACCTGTAAAATGTATGGTATAACACAACTGACGAAAACATTTGATATAAGGTCGTGGTTAGTACCCCCAACGAACCTTGAACTTACTTACTTACGTACGCCTATTATCACTTGTGGAGAAGCATAAGCCACTCACCAGCTCTCTCCTTCCAACCCTGTCCTGGGTAATCCTTTCTAGTTGCTACTCATCTTTTTAATATCTGCTTCTATTTCCCGGAGTTATGTATTTTTTGACTTTCCTCAATGAACCTTAAAACCCGATCAAAATTAATTATTCAGTTTTCCTTGACTTTCAATAGTTAAATACATTGTAAAATTACGAACAACTGGTTAATTTTGATGGACAAGAGATGAATGACATGAAACAGCATTCACAAAACATCGAATAACTATGCCTAATGTGAGAGAGCACTGACTCATCACACAGTATACATCAGTACCTCTGGGAGAACATTTACCAGGCTGCGATGGAGATTTGAAACAGCATATACTTTGAAGAATCGTTAAAAAATTTGTTTCACTTCATCTCTCACAAATCCGACACATTCAAGATAACTGACTAATATCAAATAAAATTTTTCATAACTATATGGCAAGTTAGTCGGTGAACTCGAAATGATCAGAGGTCCAGTCAATAAAATAATGTATATGTTCTACTACTTACAATCAACCCTGGCAACATTTCTGCACACGTTTGCTAAGGATACACGAGAGGTTTTAGGCACGAGTCAAACATCACACTAAGATCGGAAAACATGAAATCAGACTGAAACCTTCATCCGCTACCTACAGCGGGATTTCGCTTCACCATTGATAATGTTGTGGCAACGATTTAAGGACTGAGCCGAAACCCGATGTGTTGTCTTGGCTATTCGGCTCTAAGTGTGAAATGTGTCATCTGCAGTGATAAAAAGTGGTGCAATATTCTCAGAATCATGAGGGAAAAGCTCAGAAAATTAAGTCGTTGAAGTCAAAGGCATCGTAATTTATTTGTGTCGTTAGATTTTCACAATATAGCGGACGAACGTGAAATTAATGAGTTCAGCGAGCATCTTGAACACAGAAATGTTCAAGCATCAGTAAACACAACTGCTTATTGATTCTGTTGTTCTAAGTACGACTGAAGCTTGAGAGAAAACTAAGAGAAACGGTTCTGACTAAACAGTTGAGTCTGTTGCAAGAAATCTCTGCACTAATAGTGTTATCGGTTAAATCAATACACTCCCATAGAATTGAACGATCGTTTGTTTTAGTGATTATTAATGTGATATATTTTGCGAGATTTTGAAGGATCTGACGGAAAAAAAAATCAGATAGAATATTTCACAAGTGTGATAGTTAAATAAGAAGGCAATCAATATAAATGTTGACTTATGATCAGTATGCAAATTAATTGGAGACTATTGACGTAAAATAAATGAATATTTAAAAACCGTAATCATTTAGGAACACCAGTGATTATATAGGAATCAAACCGTTAATGAAAATAGCCAATTTACTTGAAAGATTATCCATTAAACTTCCGTGTAAAGCTTGTTATGAAGTGTTAGTCTGGTTTGTGTTACATTCGTGCAATATCGATTCGTCCGTTATATCGAGATCGTTAATGTTTAATCATAAATTAAAGCAAGACTTGCCCACAAACTGGGATGAAATACGTAGAAATATTCGTAATTGTGCACTTGAAAAGCACGTAAATACAGTGTCAATACTGCAGTTAGAGCCCATATATTACAATGCCTGCTAAAAAACTGACATAGAGGGCTAATTGTCTTACTAACAAATTATTATTGATAGAATATGAAAAACTTTCCCACAATCTTATATAATAGATCTACAGGCAAATAAAAATAAGGGAAACGTTAGTAGGAATCGACTGTGGTTATCAGTGGAACCCAGGACTCCCATACCTATCTATTTGGGATTCTTTGGCTCAATATCCTTGATATCATTACATCCACTGAGCTACTGATTCCGGGCAACCACCAGCTTATTGAACAATCATAACTCTTACATGATAGACACAATGCCTTTATTAAAAAACTGGCTATATAAAAGGGGTATATCGAGGTGATCCGCATTTGATGTGCATATAACTACAAAGACTGATCGAAATGAAGTCCGACTATCAACTCAAAGGTCACTCAAGCTCTTTCTAATGATGATACGAAGGAGAAAATATCAAGAATACTGCAGAGGTTTGAGCTGGTTATCACAAACCTTGTTCTTGTGTCAGTAGTTTCTCAGGATCAATAGGATCTAGTTTTTTTTTACCAGGTCTTCTGTTGATTATTATAATATCATAAAATTTAATACCATTCTTAATAATTTATAACTGATGTTTGGTAAACTTCTACGGAATAAATAAGTGATTTAAACCTACTATAAGAGGAAGATGTATTATTGCTCCGGTCTATTTTTTAGTAAAAAAACCTGATGCGAATTTCACTTTCATGTTATTTAAAGAAGAATTAAGGTTCAACTATTTACAGTGGTTAAAATAAGACGTTGATGCACAGTTTATGTAGTTTCACAGCGCCGACACTGAACGCCAAAACCAGTAACTTCGGCTGCTTGTCTAATCTTTTCTATTGTCTTAATCCCCGACGCTGCACGAAGAGCTAATTATGTTATTAAGGCTACCTTAGATAGTCTTACTGTTTATCTTAACTTTAATGGTACAGAGCTAAGATTAGTTCTAGGTAATAACCACAGTTTAACGGTATACATGAACAATGTTCACCAAGCATTGCACAAAATTTTTTTCAAAAGTAAAATGGTGAATTCGATTTTCAAACTTAGTAATACGTGTTTATTTACTTACGCACATGGTTTAACAAAATATGGAAGTGTAAATTTCAGGAAACACAAGCTTTTCTGAATGACTACCGGTTGGTTATTTCTAGTTTTTAGTTGTACAGTTACGCTATACCATTGTTCTGTTTTTCATTTTCACTTTGTAAATTATCCTCGTGAGGACCTGGAGTAAACTATATATAAACAAAATTGTTAAATCTCAATAATTATGTGTCCTTTAAGTGGTAGGTTCAGCAGACGATAAATGTTTGACATGTTTACTAGTAAATGACGTCATTCAAGATGCACTCAAATCAGAACTTAGAAATAACAATGAAATACTTCTTTTAAACAATGGTCAGAATAACAACGAGTTAAATCCAACAGAAAATGAAACATATGACTCTGATGACTCTAATGCATATGTGAGAAGACGTGTGGCAGAACTTAACTTGGAATTATCGAAGGAAACAGAATACCTTTCTGATAGCTATGAAAAAAAGACAGGACGTGTAAATTTTCATCCACAACTTTTTTATTCAAGGATAATAAGCCAGGACAGTTGTGAAGATTTAAATGATTTCAGTGAGGACGAAATGAATGAGTTGACGAAAATAAGTCATAATGATGACGATACAGTGAGTAAACCAATTATGAACGCGAATCCAAGACATTCCCAACAACTGACGTCTGTAATACCAAGCCCTGTTAATATTACTGAGAATAACTTGGGCAGACAAGCGTCTCTCATTCTAAAAGAAAACAATGTAGAAGAGCCCGACAGAAATTTGACTGATGGTAAGTTACTTATAGAAATTTCGAACTTTTGAAGAATAAAAGTCCTCTCTGATGGAATCGAAGTTAAATAAACTCAGTAAGACGGAAACCAGGTTCAAGTGGCTGTTTTAATCATTTGAATAGGTTAATGATATATTATAGGAAGTTAAAAGTCAGTTTTAAATGACCATATGGTTACTGGAAGTAAATATTATGGACAGACTACTGATTTGGAGACTAATGTTTGGTGGAACTAGTAAAACAAGGGACTTTTAGTTTATTCATGACTGCTAAACTCAAAGTGTATGGAATAATTCGTCTATGTAGGTTATAAACTAACTCAGACGAGTAAACTGTATTATATGTTCTGTCACAGTTTATTCCAAATAGTTCCTTACATTATATGGAAACGGCCACAGAACGGTCACCTGAAGAGACGTACTAATTCTTAGTCACTGACATTTATTATTAACTAAGCAGGGTACTGTTTTTGTTGTTCCCATAGTATGATTTAAATTAATTAATAAAAGCGTTAGATAACAACGTCTAAATTTAATAGTGTGAGTACTTAATCACTTATTAAAGGATGTGTGCAACTGAATGCTTTTAGTCAAAACTATAATTAAGGATTTTATTTCTTCCCTTTTCACGACTGATTTATATAAGCCCAAGTTATTTTTTAAAAGATTAGTGGGTAACTGGAGTGTTCTCATGGACAATACAAGTTGAAACAAAAATAGATATTCGTTTATTCGTCTGCAGCCAAATAAGTTCAACTATAATAGAATTTTTGTTCTTAAGATAACATATATAAATGTGAAAAATGCAAGCTGGTAAACGTTCGCCACGCCATTCATTTTTGGTTTAATGAATAGTCTGCTGAACTGTTTTGTCGACTGTATAGTTTGTAAGTTTAGACTCATTTGCCTCTCACTTTACAATATGATTTTAAATAATATACCCTGTACACTCATATGAGAGGGTTTTCAAAGTGACAGACAAATATCGAAGTCAATCAATGTGGAGCCATAAAACCAAAAAGAACAAATGCAAAAAAAGATATTTCGGCAGACACATACCCTAATAGTTAGCATAAAGAATTCACCATGAGTTTTCATTGGGTCATAATGACGTCTAATCATTTACAAAAATTGATACCATGAATGGATGTATGTTAGTATGGGACTCCCATACTAGGACGAAACGGCCGTCCAGTGCTTCCAGGTTTTCAATGGTGATCTAACATTCATCTTTTCATGGTATCAATTTGGACTCAACAATCTCCACGACCCTATACTGACATTTATAAAAAGCTGGCTTTTAAATTAAAGCAACAAAAGTTCACTTGTCTAGAAAAACAGCTATCACTCTCATTGTTCTGACAAAAAACGAGCAGCAAATACTAGCTTTATATTACACTTGTTTTGGTGATAAAGTTAGGAAACAGGATAACGAATTGAAATGTAGTTTGCATAATAATATGGATTTTGCCTTCAAAAACTTTGGTGTTTATGTTCACCAGTATAAATAAACACCAGAACCAAATATAAAGTTCATTCTAATGGTTTTCCTGTTAATCCTGAGGTGTGTGTCTTTGTTTGTTACTGCAAACTGAGAATCCACTAAATCTAAGGATTTGTAAGATAGATGTTTTATAACTTCAATAGGTTTACATGTACCATTTACTTGTAGCTGTTGAGAATACAGTGATTTACATATTCAATCAGTCGGTGAATGGTACGGATTTATTTGAATAGTGGTGTATTCGTTTCCTTATTGATAAATATCAATAAATTATGAACCAAAAGTGTGAAAATTCATGCGTACTGTCTTTAACCATATATCCATAGAAATATGGTTTCGGCAGCAAGAATACGTGAATCAATTTTGACAGAAAACTGCGAAAAATTACCATCCGTTAACTTATTCGTTTACATTTTGAGATAACTGCTTATCAAAAAATATTTTCATTTTGAAAAGTGAATTTTCTAATCAATCTCAATCATCTATTTTTATTACGAAATTGGATAGTTTATAGAGGATTTTTTTCTTCCTTATACTCCAAGATGAATCATCCAGTGTGTTAATTAAGAGAAAACTAAATATTTTATTTTTATACCACTATCTTACGTGTTCCACTAAATCATGGATATCGTATTTCTCTTTAGCCTTTTATTTTTCCGCCTTCTCTTAAAATCGTTTTGTTGAATAGTTTCTTTTTTCGTCTTGTTAAGAATAATCGAACTTTCGTCGCTAAAATTTACAAAGGCATCCATCAATCACCCAAAAATCATAATTTTCAGAATTGAGAGCTTTGTGTCAACAAAAACCGACTTCGTGTTTTATTTTGGAAAGGTATATCCGAATTAGTAAACAGAAGGATGCAGCTGACCAATCATTGTGAAGAAAATAGTAAGGTAGACGAAACGCGCAATTAATCGGAAACTTGTAGTCCATATGTCTAGATAAAAATAAACGTATATAGTACTTTTTCTTGAGACTGAATTCAATTTGGACTATGCAATATAAATTTTCTCACATGGCTATTCGACATTATTTATCAGTTAACTTTATCGTTTATTAAGTTTACATAATTAAAATATTTTAATTTTCAACAATGATAAACAGACGTTCAAGCAAATGATCAATAACTTGTTTTTAGATGTAAATATTACACGTACAGATGATGTAACAAAGAAAAAGAATCACCGTACAGCTTCAATCAACGAGCAAGATAACAATGTTACTAAAATAATAACTAAGCATGTAAGTAATCAAAATAATGAAAGGATATGTAATTCTCAGTCTCAATATAGTAATGATAAACCGTTAACCGAAAAAGAGAAGGAAAATTCAATCCAAGTAAGTATTAAATAACAGGGTTACTTTCATTTATCTGAAAACATTGGTAGTTAGTAGTCGTATACTACTCACAACAGCCCTTTATCGACCAAGCAGAAAGGTCAAATAGGTTCAGCATTTTTAGGTTTTTAAGCTGAAGATGGTTAGAGAATTCGCAAAAGCATTGTAGCCTTTAAGTTTAACCTTGGTTTATCGATTACTAACTTGTTATAACGGCCTTCCCTTTTACTCATGAATGGGACGTTAATTTACCTTATACGACCATCTACACTAGATTCCCTCCCAGTGTCTATTCTACAGGACTTCAACACAACTCAGATCAAGAAAGCCTGATTAGCCTGACTAGAACGTAAATATATTTCCACACCAAAACCTGACACAATCCAACAACAATGAACATTCAATCAATAATAAATAAATAATAAGGATAGGGAAATATATAAATCATCTGAAACCTGTCAGACTATCTACAAGTCTGATTAAGCAGAAAACCAAGCATTCTCGCTCACATATCATAACTAATAAGTAACTTAGTCCTATCTCGTATATATATATATATATATATATATATATATATATATACGAGGGTTGGAAAAGATCCATTGATTTATAGTTTGAAACATTTTTGAAGCTGTTTTCTAAGTGGAAGACAATCCTGAAGAAAGCTTTAATTGATCTAATACTGATTAGCTGTACACCATACATCAGTTTACCATAGATAACTTCAATGTATCGTTTCATTCTTTGAAAATGGTATATTTAAATAAAGAAACTGTCTTTGAAATACATCACTGATTTTCTGATTTCATAAAGACATGGCATCGACTTAAACATCAAGAACACATGAAAGTTAAGGTGGAAGAAAGGAAAACATACAAAAGAGAACATGTACAAGAAAAAGAAGTAGGTTGGATTCTGATAACAATAAATTTGGTACAATATATATTTGGGGAAATAAATAAAGAAACCCTTAATATGAATATATTCTTACACAAAACTCATCCAAATTTCTATGAAAATTAGGTTGCAGATAAAAATCGCAGTGATCAGAAAGTATCAAACTGGTTAAGAGCTAAAGTTTTACAAAGAAAAGGTGAAGAGGAAATGAAAAGATATGAAAATGAAGAACAACAATATCTGAATGTTGTGCATTCTAGAGAGGCATGTGAGCAAGCATTTAAACAGTAAGTTGTCATGATTGTTAAGCTATCTAATTTGTAGTGAATTAATGTAACCAATAATCATTTGGATTTGTGAAGTGTTGTTTTCTATGACCTGTTAATTATATCACACGGTTAGATTGCCGAATTAAAACACTGACTCATATGACCCGAATACTTTACCAAATTAATGACGGATTAACCAGTACGAGCACCCTAGAGTCAACTCTGAGTCCACACTAGCACTTCCGCCTAGACCTGCCTTTTTGAGTCCAGAACACAGTTTCTACTGTATGAATCATGCATTTCAGACATATTCAGTTTATGTACAAGCAAATTAGACCGCATCATACCGTAAAGTAGAAAATAACCATCATACAGGATCAGATCAAAAGTGGTTGTGGAGATACCGTAACAAATAAATTGGGAATAACGTAAGAATAGTAAATCGTATAATAGTAGTCAATAAGTCAAATGGAAGCTTATAATACAAGGGATATAAATATATACGTATAATATACCTAAGTTATCCAGTAAGAACATATATGGTAACATTTCACAAATAATTCCTAGAAGTTACCCATAATTTAATCTTCACTAGGATATAACATAGAGAAGCTGTAAAGCTGACTGATATTTCCATTAATATAGTTTACAGAAGAAAGTGAACTGTGTCAGTTTAAGGATCAACAAAGTTTGAACTGAAACGAAGACTGTAACTCGTTCAACTTGTTATCGAGGCAATATTACACTTACCATAAGTTTTAGTATTTAAAGTCAACTGTTTGGTGGGGTATTTAGTAAAGGATTCTAAAGTGAACGATCTGAGTAGAAAAAAGCACTTTCCACTTATTGGTCTAATGCCTATTCTGGATTCTTCTGTAATTCATATTGAGTGACCAATTTGGACTCCAAATTTATATGGTTTAAAGCCTTAGAGAATGAGAAGTATTTCCAATTATGCTCTCTTTTTTAGTGGAAGTTTTTATAGGTTAACCTGTGAAAATACTCTGAATTTCGCTGGTGCGATACAGATGCTGAAATATTTCAATTTCAATTAAAAGATACTCAGTATGAAAATAATACAAAGCTATACTACATTACCTCGTTCACCAGGTACTCGGCTATGAGCTACATTTCGACTGTGAGAGTTAATGATACTGCCAGCGTGCGAAAACCGAAATAGGCAAGGAGGTTTGAAACTGGGATTGAAAGGTGACTGCCTTAACCACTAGACAGCCGCACAACGAAAGCTATATAGTTCTAATTTTGTTTAGATAGTTTGTTTCCGTAAACCGTTAGTATCACACTTTGACAATGAGCAAGATATCAGTTTACTTTTTAATTTTGAAGAACAGCTTATCATAAATATACTTTTGCTTGATTGAAAGGGTGAACTATGAGAAATATGCTCAAAATATTATATCGAACGAGATAACAGGTTAGGATACTTTCTCAATCCACACTATAAAGGAACTATATTCATTTTACCGTCACACGTGTAGTCCAAAGAAAAGTAATGGCTCTACAAAGTAACCCTAAGATGAGTGCGCGTTTTATTGCGACATCTGTTCAAATGGGAAAAGTATACACAAGATGACGCTTGCACATAAACTTTCAGAAATTGTTAGAAAGCAGCTCGAATGCCTTTCCGCTTCACATAAATGTATTCTTTAAATCCGACCTCAGTATCTAAAGACGTTTCCGTTTTAGGTTACAAAACCAATAAATGTAGTTTAAAATCACGGCTGTGGTTTACACACAAAGATGATGCACTCAGAGAACTAATTGAAATATTGCTAGTCCATAATCATGCCAACTTAGAGCTATATTTTGTAGTGTGGGATATGCATCGTAGAGTTTAACAATACTTGAATGATTTCACTAATAGCCCAATTTGATTGACTTAGCGAACCTTTTATCTAGTTTTAGGTACCATATAGTCAAGGCGATGGAAATCAGTTTTAAATAGGAATTCATTGCCACACAAGACTGAATCCCAGAATTCAATTTCATCTAAAATAACACCAAATACTTCACTTTTTACTCTAATCAGGTGGTTGAGAAGAAAAAATCGTGAGGCGAAGGAACAAAAACGGAGGGCGAAAGAGCGGATGAAAATTACACAACAGTTAATGCGAGGTAATCATGATTGGCAACAGTTCATGAAAACCATACAAAAATTCGACGTATTAAAGATTGTACTATGAACCAAAATACTTATTCAATTACGTATTGCACAATGTCTGCGATTTTGACAAGTCAAAGCGGAAATCATCTTCAAGTTCACTTTTACTGAGTACGCGTTTGAAATGTTAAAAATTAGGATAAGTACTCGATGTGTCTTATCGTAACACAATATATGAAGTACTTTTTTTATTATTAGACTCGTCTTATTCCATTATTTACCAAAAGATGTTGCATGCAATACTTTCTATACATGTAAGCCTAGTTAACCTAGTTTACGTAGCAAGCTAAAACGATCCTTTAGGGAAGTCCTATCTCCTGCAATGCCCTCACAAGTGCTAGAGTGTAACGTTTATCTGATCGTCGAAACCGGCTGGTTGACCATCAACAAGTAGGATTTGACACAAATGTGTAGGTATCACATTTGACATACCGAACGTCTCAATAGGGAGATCAAATTAACGATATGACTAGCACAAAAGGAGAATCAGATGCAGTAAAGAGCTCGAGATGGAAAACATAAAAATGAACAAATAAGACCGAATAATCCAAAGTACAACAACCACAGTTGGTGTAACGTAGAGGGATGGAAGCACAGCTTTATATCCAGACTTAGGGTTTGTCAAAACTGAGATTAGAAGTACCATAGGAAAGGTCAGAGAGTCGATGTAGCCTTGATAACTACCATTATCTTTTCAGACGATTGGAAGGTGAGAGCCAGATCGGAGAACTTTTCAACAGTATGTATTGTGGTCCTGAAGAATTTAACTATCAGTTTGGGTGCTTACACATAAAGAAATTATTTCTAGGATCAAAGGGTGTCGGGTGACTATTAATTCAAACAAATGGACAATCTTATGGAGTACTACGCAGTTTACAACTAATTTTCGGTCAGTATCAGCACCCATTTCACGTCTCTGCCATACTGGTTGACTTCCCTGAACAAAGACTAGTGCACTAACTTTCGTATGTAATGTTGTAGAAACCATTTTTGACTATGGATTGTGCCAAAATCACTTTGCGTTTAACCAAAAAATGTCTAAAACACATTAGTGTAAACCTCTCAGTGGCACTCATTTTAGCAACCATATTACATTAAACTAACCTAGATACGAAGATAGATGTTACTTAATCGGTAAGCGTAATCAGTTACATAAAGCATAAACTCATAAACCGACTAGTGACGTCTTGTGTTTTGTGGACCCTTCATAACATTACTGCACGTTAAATCATTTTAGTGATTTAAAGTTTAAAAAACTTGCTTTTTTACGCAGCGTTACGTCCACTGAACAGAAAAGCATGATTTTCAAAATATGCAGTGTGGTAGTTGTCGATTCCTGGAGATTACTTTAAGCTGACTCTTACTATCAAAGTCAGCAATATCATAAGGCTTAGTTCGGGCTATATAATACAAAGCTGTTAATACTCTAATTCCAGATTTTAAGCATCTACAGAAAAATCCTACTGGTTAATTGCCCTGGTAGTTTTGGTCAAAATGTCGTAGCCTATTTTGGTGATGAATACTTCTAGGTCTAGCTAAAGTGGGTAAACTGTAACTACTAAAGATATTTAGTAAGATAAATCTACTTTTGCAAGCTTTTAGGGATGAAAAGGATACTATAGAAGTTGCGGCAAATGGAAAATACCCCAATACACTGATATTAAGTAATTGTCATTCTCGATTTCAAACAGAACTTAGGTATTCTCTAGGACTTTCTGCGGGTATGCTAGGTATCGGTTGCCCCTAAAGTATTGACTTCGGCACACTGCATAAAACGTGTGTTCAAATCGCAAATACAGTTACATCGGTTGACTGATCACTGCACAGTAACAATATCACGTTAATCTAATTCTTCGGCACTGACAAAATTTTATCGATAAATTTGCACTGCAGTTATTAGTCTGGGTGACCTCACTTGTGTGTTCCGTATTAAGATGACTGATGATTAGAGGTCGTCAGAAAGAAATCCTGGATTTAGGTTTCGTGCTAGTAGACACAAGTCATTAAGGTGCATGTACCTCCGATCTTGACGGAACTGATGATTCCTTTAGGTTTCCTCCCGAATACCCCTTAACCACTTAACATCTCAGCATAGTACATGAGAAGTTGACATACTCAAACTAATGCTCGTATGGTAACTTAATCGATAGAATCCAATCAGCACAAAAAGACTAAACTAACTTGGCATTTATCACTGCACAGTGATCAATCAATTATGGGTATATGTCTTATAAGTTTAGTCCCCTTAATCTGTTCTCAAATAGAGGAAATAGTCCTCACTTAATAACGGCTTTACATACGCCTCGTAAAAACATCAGTATGAAACTTCACTCGGGATAATTACGTATAAGGATAGAATAGTGCTATCTAGTTGCCCAGAAATTTCAGAGTGAACAGTGCTGAAATTCAATATACAATGAGTTATAACTGTGAATCGACTGAAATTTCATGCAATAAATCTTAGGTTAGATAAGTTTCTAACGAATGTCAATGGAAGAAAAAATCTCGCACTGAAGACTGAAAAAAATGACGAACTTTTTATACAATTTCCATTTCTTTTTTAGTAAATAGGCTGTACATACTCAACAGAGACGTAATTATCTCTTGAAACGTGTAAGAATAAGATCGATCCAACTATGACATCCTAATGGAGCAAGAAGTTTGTAAAATTCATCTACAACATAAACAGAAATTAGAAATACATCATGGGGTTACGATAAACTGGCTCACAAAAACCGCACAATCAATATAAAATTAGCATATATACAAGTAATGTGGCGAAAGTTAATGACATTACTGTAAGCCTACAGATTTTTTACCACAAATATGTAACTGGGTCACATTCTATCGTTATGGTTTACTACCAAAACCTAGCAGAGAAAACGTTTCGATCTGTCAGTATGAAATAAATTAGGTCGTAATTTTTAATTATGATAAAAAGAAACTTGCGAAAACAAAGGTCTAACCAACAGGTACAAAGTCTTTTGAACAAGATATTATTCTGGTGAAATCCTATATGGATAGTAAAATGACAAATACAAGCAATTACTGAAAGAAAAAGACTTGAATTACTTAGTTATATTAAATTCTAAAACTTGGTAATATGAAATACCTAAAATTTAAGATTCACAGAACAGATGGAATGTGTCTAACAATGGAATCAAGGACGCGCGTTTCATCCCCCTAATCAAATGTCACTTATTCCATAAAGGACTGAAAGATACCTACTGCATCGAGGCAATCAGTGAAGGATCCACATATGGCAACCAAGACTGATCAGAATCCATCACAAATGAATTTTAGGTTGTATCTTCAATATGTTATGCAAATAGCATTTTGAATAATGTAAAACGATTTTAAAAGGTGAATTTTTCAGAGAAATGAATAGACGTGTGATTGGAATCTTGTACAAACATGCATTGTAATCTATATTTTATAGATATAGAATTTAAAAGTACTTTTGGTGACACAGTATGTTGTTGTTACTTTTTCAACTTGTATATCAGGGATACTGTCTCCGTGAATTTATCACAGATAGGCAACATGAAAGTGGCGATTGTTTGACACTATCTGGAGTAAGCAACTTCTACTGTTAAGCGCTAACTGGCCGTTTCCACGTGAAAGTACTTATGTAACATGGGATGTTTTCTACAAGAAAACAGTCTAGGATCGTGTCCTTTAGTCATCGTTTATATGCAGGCCTTAATTACCAGTATGACTAAAAATTTTAAGATGCGGATGGATGACACTCTGTTCAGCAAGCAATTGGAAATACATCCACAGGACAATTTCTGAACTAGCACACCAGCGGATACACGTTACCTGCAGGTTTTATTGATTAGTATGTTTTCCTAGCATATGTTGATATAAAATCCGGTGTGTGCTAGGATTAAACGATACGTATGATTTATCATAAAATTTATTTATGAAATTGTTTGAATAGTTATGTATTTTTCACTTGAAGCTCAGCTAGATATTCGCAATCACGCCAAATCCGGCTGGCTCACTCTTCCTAATCCTTAACTTTTAGTCCGTACAACAAAATGTAATCAGTTATGTAAAAGGTGCAGATAGTAACCGTTTTCGTAATTAGCTACTATATATGATAAAAGCATAGTATAATACAACAATATGCTACATGTAGTTTTTCTCGTTATCAAGTTTAATCATGATTAATACTTTAAACAGATATCTCTAAACCGATAAGCGAGATAAGTTCTATAAGCGAAGATGGACAATGGTTAGCAGTGGAATCTAGGACGCGCGTTTCGTCTTATTTGGGACTCGTCAGCTGGATGTACCTGCATTCAGAGTTGATGTTCACTCCGTGACAAGTCTCGAATAGGACGAAATGTGCGTCCTAGATTCTACAGCTAGCCATCATCCATTTCTGCTTATAATACTTGTGAATTAAGGCAATATTGAGGCATTCCGCACAGGATGCACATATTCCAATAAGACTGATCGATTGCAGTACTAAACAGCAATGGGAAGGTTCAAACAAACAATGCAAAACGTGATAAGTTCGTTATAGTGAAAAGAGATTATAAAAGTAACATTATTTAAAATGTTTAAAAAATTACCTGAACTTAAATTGCGTATACGTCCACTAACCCAACAAATTTGCATAAATTCTGCTAATCGAATGATCATTAGCTCTAAAAGGTCGATTTGTTTATCTCCTAACGATTCATGTTTCGGTAGCGAACTAATCATCTTACACTGTTCATGAACTTGAGTAATCATTGATTCTAGATAGCAAAATTCTTTTGTATACTCCATTTTTCGCGAACACGTAAGAAGCCAAGTTGAAAATCCAGACGGTCCGGGAACTCCACTACCATGACGGTGGGAAGAAAGACTGGCAGGTTCTGACAAACACTTATGAGTATGTAATAAAATTAAATATCATTTTACAACACGACAATAATTTAACTTTTATGTACAACTAACCAAATAAACATGAAAGAAAAGTTGACGAGAAAATACAATATATTCATAAGCATGAAATCTAAAATGCATAAATTTCATGAAACAACAGCAAATTGAAAGTTTGAAAGCCTATTAACTCGGATAAATGTGCAAAATTTAGGAGAAACCACCTAATTATACAAAGTTGTAGTCGTATTGGAGTAATAACAACGTCAGGATAGTTTTTCAAACACTAAACTGATCCCTCCGTGTTGCGAAACTGATG